TTTTGTTTGAATAAGCTTAATTTTTCTTCTCTTTTTTTTTGATTTTTTAGGTAGAAAATTTTCCAAGTAGGAAATTTTGAAAACTTCAATGGTTGGTTGTTCTACTGGTCAGCTGACCTATCTGACTGATATCTGGTCATCGAATATTGTCGTGCTCTTTCTATAATCTTGTTTAAATAGGTGTTTGTCAAACAAAAAAACCGAAAAAAGAAAAGAGAGAAAAACTTTTTTTTTTATTCGAATTTTTATCAGAATGAAAGTTAAAAAGCTACATGAAAGTTATGTTTAGTTTTTGTATTTAATTCTAAAATTTTTTTGGTTGATTTGTTCAACTGACAAAGTATCATCATTAGAGCACTGTTGATAACATTAATACTGTTACGCGTTTGAAAGAAGTTTATGTTCAATTGACTGTGTGTTCACCGAGCAGAAAAAAAAGTATAAATTTTATGTCTTAAATAGCCGTATTAACCTTTGATGCTTTGGGTAGTGCCATTAGTTCAAACTAAAGTCAAAGCTTTGCTAAACGTTTATTGTAAGAGAAGGAAGAAAGTAACCATTTGAATAAATGTAACATGCATTGTTGCTGACCTCATGCATGCATAGTAACCGTTTAAAAACTGTTTCCGTCATAAAACTCTGTTACCAATCAATACTTTAAGATATCTGTTGTTCATTACCGCAACAAAAACAACGGTTATTAATTGATGTTTTTGATCGTTATATTTAAAAAATTTCAGACGAGCAAAATTAAATTGAAAAAGCGGTTTGTTGAAGCAGATTTCTAGAAGAAAGAGGAAAAAAAAAGGAAGAATAAATAAGCACAACAGTTTTCAAAACAAACCTTATTCATTTGTAACAGTCAACAGTTTTTTGTTTTTTTTTTTTGCTTTTTATTTTTTACTGAATTGACCACCACTTACGCCTTAATGGGATAACGTTTGTAAAAAAATTTTTTGTTCACTGTTTTGTCCAAAAAAAAAAAAAAAAGAATAAATTAAACTGAAGAAAAAATGAACACATTTATAGTTTATTTTTAGAAAAAATGAATAAGACAGGTGGAGAGAGCAGCATTGAGAATAAAAAGGAAAAGGGGGGCAAAAGGAATAGGGTAGGTGAAGAGATAAGGTGATGGATATAATGAAAGCGAGAAAAACTTTATTTGCCATAGCAACGTGGACAAGCTTGAATCTTGTGCTAATTTTTTATTTTTCTTTTTACGCTAATCACTAGGAAATAAACTTAGCTGTTATACTACTAGTTTTCAATTTAATGCTCACTTGTATGCCGCTGTTTGACCCACTGTATGCAGTAACTGTAAACCAGTGTTGAATGATCTTAGTCGTTGTAAGTATGTTAAAATTTTGCACCATTTTCGTTTTCTTTCTTCTCTTTTTTTCTGTTTTTCTTCTTTTTGTTAGCTATTATAAGTTGCTTTCAAGCTAAATAATTTGATATCTTCTTAAAAAAATTTTACAATTTACAATGACTTAATTGTCGTATGTTATGTTAAAGTTCAGTTTGCAATTTAGGCAACAACAACAACAACAAAAAAAGAACTGTTTGTTAAATTGACTTCTAATAAATAATTAACAGGACTGTTATCTTCACCAACACTTTCTTTTTTTTCATTGGTATAACACTGCTTTTTCTTCATGGCTTTTTAACAGCCGATTAAATACATTGTTTCTAAACTTTTTTCTCTTTTTTTTTTTTTTTTAAACAAAAAAATTTTTTCAATTTCTATTCTTTTATTTTCAGCATTAACTTTTTGATATTTAAAATTATGTATAGTATTATTTTTTTAAATCATTATTTTTTATTTATTAAGTAAACAGTTTATTTTCATTTGTCATTTAGGTAATAACTGCACTAACCACAACTGCCGATAATCTGTCAAGCAGTACCGTGGTTGCAAATACTGTGCTTCCACGATTTGATTCAGATTTCTACGAATTTTCATTGCCCGAAAATATACAGTCAACGAATTTTGGTGTTGTCCAGGTTAGTTTATTCAGCAGTAATTAGTTGACCGTCATTAAGAGTAAAATATATATGACTGGGAAAAAAGTGGAAACAATAAAACATTCGTCTTTTTAAAGCTTTCTTTTTAAGTATTTGGAAGAACTTAGTTAAAGCATACATGAGAATGTTGTTCTACAAGGCGAAACAGAAAAAATTAACATTACGTGAATACTTTTCCAGCTTTTACCAGTTCCATATTCTTGAAGTTTCTTAGAAAACATTTGAAATGTCTCAATTTTAGTGTGTCGATCAAACCCTTGTTCATCGCCCCTTACGGTACGGCTTGACAACTGACAATATATCCAGTTTGATTGCAGTTGATCCTCGGGCTGGTACTTTGACAACTCTTCGTCCACTTGACCATGAAGTGATCGGAAGTTATAGTTTTCGGGTCAGTGCTTTCTCTGACTTTTAACATTTCTCAAGCATGGTGTTTTTTTGCTATTGTTTAGCTTATCCGGGATAAACTAGTCTTATACCAAGCTTTATTTTATTTTATTTCATTTATTTATTTCTTTTTGATTTTATTAGCAGTTTTTCTAACATTATGGCTTGTAAAGTTCAAAATATTGTAGAAAAAGTGCTGAAATGATGCTTAGCTTTTCAAAATTACTCTGAGGTCTCAGCGCTAAGCGGACAAAAGATATTTTTAAATTTTCCTCTATCAACTGCTTAAAATCGCGCTTTTGAATTTGTAGTCCAGAAAAAGGCTTGATAAGATCACTTTCGTTTCAGATTTTAGCATCTCTAATTGAAAAGAAAACACTTCTGTAAATCCAAAATTTTAGGTATCTTGCTGTCTTCTGAATGATCCAGCGATCTGCGATTTTACTAATGTCACTTTGAGTGTAGTTGATTTGAATGACAACATCCCAGAGTTTGACCAAGAGGTATATACCGCGGAAATACCGATTGATTTGCCAGTTGGTAGTCCGATAATTCAAGTCAAAGCTTCTGATATTGATAGTGGTGAAAACGGAATTGTCAGTTATGAACTGAAGGACAATTTAGGTTTGGATTGCTCTATGAGCTTATTTTTTACGTTGTAATTTAATTTAGTTACTTTTCTACAACACTTTTTTTTGCTGTTATGTTTTCTTATTTATTGTACCTTTGTAAAACAGTGTTTTGATAAAAAACGAAAATTTGGAACTTGAGAGATTAACATTACCTAGAACTGCAGTAGCGTTTATGTTACAGATTTGTTCCAAATCGATTCCGACAACGGGCTGATTAAGTTAAAAGCCCCATTGCCAGGTCTCGTAAATCTAACATTACCTGTTGAGGCCTATGATAACGGTTACCCAACTCAACGAAATGTCGGTACTGTAAAAATACGCGTTCATGGCAGTAATCCTTCATCACCAGTTTTTGATCAGGTAATATAAAGAGGTTTTTATTTTTTATTATTACTAGTATCATTTGGTGTCTAACAAATGTTTTTTTTTTTTCAAAAACGCATGACTTATTTAACGCGAATTTATCAACACACATGTTGTAGCTTCGATATGAAGTCACTAGATTCACTCCAGTACCTGCTGGTTCAGTTTTAATAACTGTACATGCAACAGATCCAGATCCAGGTTTAGATGGACAGATTCGATACCAGATCGTTCGGATAGACAGCGATAATCCAGAAGACGATTTACCAAAGTTTTCAATCAATGCTGAGGTATGTTTCTTTAAAAAGAATAAAAATATTATTAAGTTATGACTGCATTTTTTTAAATCAAATTACTAAATAGTTTTTTTTAGACGGGACAGCTGTCTACAAGTGTCAGACTGACAGCAACAGGTTCATCACCAACGTATATTGTTGTTGAAGCTGTTGATATGTCCCCAGATTTTCCAAGAAAGGCTGAAGCACTAGTAAAATTAAATTTAATTGCCGAAAGGAAAGAAAAGATATCTTTTTATCCACTGCCAAAAAGAATTTTTATCTCAACAGCTTTGCCACCTGGAAGTGTAATACTCAGGTTAATCGTTAACGGGTAGTTATTATCTCTGCTTCTTTATACTAACAATAATAGTTGTAGCTTACTAACAAATTTAAACGACTTTTTGTTTTAACATTCGTTTTTAGAAAAAAAATTTGTAATTTTAAACTGTCAAATTATTTTTTGTATTGAAAATACACTTTTTTTTTAGCGGCTATGAGGCGACATCATAGAACTCTATGTTTTAATTATCCTTTCAGAATGTTAACAACCTACACTGAAGCTCCGCAGTTGTTCACGTTGAGAAACTCCAGCGGGATTGATTATTTTCAAATGGTTGGCGATGAACTGCAAGTTAAGAAGAAGCTCCGAAAGGGTATTTTCAATGTGACGATGCGAGTGGATGCTGGATCAGCGTTTGCCGAGCACGATGCGACACTTATTGTGATGACTGAACGAGATAAATATCCGGTTTTCGGACAACTTAACTATGAGCTGCAGGTAAGGTTTCCTTCGACAGTCAAATCAATCACAAACTTTCAGCTATAATTTTAGATAACTGAAATTTTAAAAGAAGCACATTTAGGTTCCTGTAAACGCTTCCTTGCCACTTCTTCTATACAAATTTAATGCTGTATTGTACGTAGGCAGCGTTCAGTATAGTATTTTCCCTCTTGAAGATATTCCGGATGGTTTAGTATTAGAACCAACTTCGGTAAAGACTCAAAATTTACTATTTTTTTTGAAGAATTTTCTTTCAGCGTTAAAAACAACTGTCTTTGGCATTTCTTCCTAAGTTGTTCGTTTTAGGGCAAATTACTTGCAACCGAAAGTTTTATTAAAACTTTCACAGATAATCAACCCGTTTTTGTGGTTATACGAGCAACAAATACAGATTTTCCGAAATACTTCTCTGATGTTGGGGTCAGCAAGCGGATTCTTTAACCATTAGTTCTTCTGAAATTGTCAAAATTATTTGCAATTAATGTTTTTAACAATGTTTATTGTAGCCATTTTTCAGGTTATCATTAGAATAGCTGCAGCTGCTGAAAAATTCCACTTTTTAAAAAGCCTTTATCAATTCCGAGTTCCATCAAACATTCCAGTTGGAACACTGCTGAACGAGTCTGTTGCTGTGGATAATCAGACAATGGACGAAAATATAGAGTTTATAGTGGAGCCACCAGACATGATTGCAGTGGGAGCAAACGGTGCTTTGAAGACGATGGTACCTTTCGATGCCTTCGACCCGTCGACTCCAGTAGATATGACGGTGAAGTATTTACTGATTGTTTGTACACTAAAATAAAGCCATATTACTGGTGATCAATGCTCACTGGTTATTTTGAAATAAACTTATTATCAGCTTAAGGTTTATGCAAAGAATGGACTGTTGGAAGCAACCACAAAAATTCGCTTGTTGATTGATCCTGTAAGGCAAGAATTACGATTTGAGAACGACTCTTATAAAGTGGAAATAAATGAAGATGCCGAACCAGGAGAAGTTATCAAAATTGTACAAGTCGGGCAAAATTACACGAAACATCTCAAGAAGAATGTTACTTACAGTATCACGCAAGGTTATTCTTTATTCTCGATCCAAAACGAGTTGTCTGCAAAACAAGAGTTTCATTTTTGAAGATGCCGTTGAAGTAACTTTCTCTGAATGATGCGAAAAAAGTAAAAATTTTGCTCAAGGTTCAAACAGTCTGACAAAAATCAAATTAAATATTTTTCTTATTCTTATTGTTTATTTAAAGTGTACGTCGTTTTACAGGTGACACTGAAAGACTTTTTGAGATCACTAACAACGGTTTTCTGATGCGATCGGAAGTTGGAACATTAGACCGTGAAGTTAAAGATTCGTATAACCTAACTATTGAAGCCGTCAACAATGGCAAGACCGTGGTAAGTAAATATGCTGGGAATTTGATGTTGCCAGTTATTCAATTTAATTGTTTTTTGAAATATGTTCTTTCTTGCATAAAATAAAAATTGAACATCTTTTTTTTCTTAGGCAAAAACAAAGGTATACATTAGAGTTACTGATGCCAACGATAATACTCCGCAGTTAATGGGAGTCCATACTTGGAACTTGACTGAAGGTTTGTTTCGACGGTTTCATCTTTTCTTTTCTGCTGTTTTAAAGAGTGACGTGAGCTAATAGACAATGTCAGTGACTAGCAAAGTTTTAGGCAAAGAATCGGTTGGCTCAAAACTATTACTGAATGCCACAGATACTGACTTAGGAGAAAATTCGACAGTTACATTTCGGCTGAAATACTCACCGCAAAGTAACCATTTCAAAATTCAGCGGTTGACCAATAAATCAGTAAGTACTAATATAATTTTGTTTATCAGCTATTCTATTCTACCTGATGTTATAATGCTTAGATTTGAGAGTTTTAAATGGAATTTTGGAGTCATAAATACGATCTTAATTAATTTTTTAATATGACTAGTATTAAATATTTTAAGGCTGAACTAGTATTGATGAAGCCACTACTGCATTCGAAGTCGCCAAAAATTGAGCTGGAAGTAGAAGTAAAAGACAACGGGGCTCCACCACTCAAATCTACTTCAACAGTTATTGTCAATATAATGCCTCAACAGTCGCCACCACCAGCGTTTAGCAGTCACATTTATACAGCAAACGTAAAACAGTTTCTTCCTCTTCTTCTTCAAAAGTAAAAGAATTTAATATTTTTCTGATGCAGGATAACGAGAATAAATTTACTAGAGAATAAAAACTGGATGGAAATTTATGTTTGATTGCTTAAAAAACTCTTAAGATAAATGAATATTGAAAACTTATAATTTTAACAACCTTACCTCAGCAATAAAAAATTTTGTCTCTAACTTGTAGGTAACGACGAATGTTGATCCTGATACCCCAATTGTAAAGGTTCAAGTTCGGAATACTGGAACTGCATCAAATGTTACGTACAAAATAGTAAAAACATCTTCAGATGTTTTCACCATTGATCAAGAAACTGGTGCTATAAAATTGGCGCTTAACGGTACCAAATGGGTGCCAGGAACTCATAAGCTGAAAGTGGAAGCCAGTGATGGTCAAAAGTCGTCTACAGTCGATGTTGTTATTAATTTGACAACTACAACAACTCAGAAAGTTGAAGAGTTAGTACCTAAGTAAGTACTACTTTTATTCAAAATGTTTAAGAGTAGCTAGAACAGTAATTTTCGAAAGATAATGGTTTTTTAAATTGTTATTTCACTGTAAATCTTATGAATAAAGAAGTGCTAGGAGTTTTTATAATATTTTAGTCTAGTGAAATTTTAAGCAATGCTACCCTTTTAAGAACGACTGTTTCTTCAATTAATCATCCACCAGTTTTTGATCGTCAATCTTATGAGTTTATTGTCAACAATTTAACCACTGATAAAATTGGTACTCTGAAGATAACAGACCCAGATGGCGATACAGTTGTCAATATTGAAATTCAGCCTGAAAAATATCATCAGCTTATTTCAGTTGATCCTCAGGTTTATTTTAAAACATTTTTTCGAAAAGAGTTGGCAAATGGAGTGTGCTAACTTACACTGCAAATAATTTTGCTACCAGATAATGTTTAGCTCAAACAGTTTCACAAATTGTTAACTTATTTGAATAGACTTACAGTTACTTAAAAAAGAAAAGTGCCCACTGCATTTCGCCACCATGTTTTCCTATTCTTTTTTTTTTCAGACGGGACTGATAACTGCTAAAAAACAACTGGAAAATGGAAAATACGAGTTTTCCGCTATCGCTAAAGATAACGGGTATCCACCAGAAACGTCTTTAGCTACAGTGACCATAAGAGTTGCTTACCCAGAAACCACCACAGCAAAAAGTGTTGAAGCGTCATCTGCTTTGTCAGCAACATCACTGGCGACAACAATCGGCGAAAATGCTGGAGTTTCGTCAACAGTAGTTATTTCCGAGGTAAATTTTGTTGTAGTTGTAACTTAACCTAACTGATGTCTCTGAAACTTAAAAAAAGTTTAATGATCCAGAGTCAATTTTTATGCAATTATTTTTATTTGAAAACTTTTCTGCAGGTTTTCTCTTTTATTTCTTTGATCATATTATTTATTTTAAAATTTTTTAGCAGATTGAACAATTCACCGATGACACTAGCCATCAGACTGTTTCAGCGAGTGTCACTAAAGAGGTACATATTGTAAAGCATTAATAACTCGACTGAACTGAGAACTCTAATCTTCTACAGTGATATATTCTGTTTCGTTTTTTATCAAATTTTTTTTTATTCTTTCAATAACCAATTTAGGAGTGTGTGTTCAGCCTCATAAAACCAGTGGACGAGGTGGTTATTCCAGTTAAGGAAGTGACCAAAACAGAGCCTGTCTACAGTATTCAAGGAAAATGCTCTTGCGCATCCAGATGTGCACATGATTTTCAATTAACGAATGAAACATTGAAAGAATTTGTTAATATTTCATCGGACGGTCACATACATGTAGATCCAAAAATTTTGGATGCTCAAACGAAAAATCCGTTGTTAGGTCGTCCTGGATCGCTGCCGATAAACGTCTCAATAAAAAGTGGCAAAAATGTGCAATATTTTCGACTAAATGCCATTTTTGATTTTGGAAGCACAATTGTAGAAAGTAAAGATACAGGCTCTTTCCGTTTATCTTTGACAAACGTTGCTTTTCCAATTTAAGTCACCAATGTCAAGTACTGAAAGGAAAAAGCTTCTAGCCAAGAATTTTAAGAAATCTTTCTGTTTTCTGAAACTCATATCAACAGCTTAGTGTGTGTTATAGTTTGTTTTCCCTGAATTATTGGCGTACAGTGCTTTTGAGCCTAATGAAAGAAGTTTAACCATTTAGGTACAACGGCAGCAGTTTCACAGGTTTCTGAACCTGTAGGCGAGAATACAGTTTTGGCAAGCACACCGGATATCACTGAGACGGAATTACTCAAGTTTGAACATGAAAGCTATAAAGCATTGACTCCAGAAGGCACTTACAAAAGCGGTACAGTACTTTCAATGAAACCCGATCAACTTAAAGTAGCTGATGTTCCTGAGGTTGTAACTCCTTTACA